GCAGTGAAAAATATGTTTTCGGCAAATAGTTTGTCAAAGGAAAACAAGGCCGCAGGTGGGTCATGTTTGGATCACCGCGGCCTTCGGGCTATGAGAATGCCTAGTCATTTACAGAAAAACAACGTTGACGAGATGATGCTGTGCGGGAGGGAAGAGAGAAAAACAGCGCCGCTTATCAACATGTCAGAGGAAAAACAGTTCAGTCTGTTCTCTGCTTCAGGAAATCAGAATGTCGCTTCATGTCCCTTTAGGAGATCCCTTAAGACTCATCTCTTCAGGGAAGCCTATCCCACCTCAACCTAACCACTGAACAATCACTTTCTCAAACAATCATCCCCGCGCAGCTACCTCCTCATGTATCACTTCCCCCTCCCCTTTTAGATTGTAAGCCCTCAAGGGCAGGGCCCTCCTTACCATCTTGTCAAATTGTATTGTGACTGTAATGTCTTCCTTATATTGTAAAGCGCTGTGCAAACTATTGGCGCTATATAAATCCTGTATAATAATAATGTCCCAGTGCATTGTGGGAAAATAAAAGGCTAGTAATGGCTGCCTTGGGAAACGAGGCCTGTTCTTTTTAACTGTGGCTAAGAAAGGGTGGCGTCGTCTTTTCTTTTATCGCACCTCAAGGCCTAGCTCAGATGGTCAGCAAGGGGGCATTAAAAACAGGCGGTTGATCTGCATTTTTAGCTCCCCGAATGACTGCCCACCTCGAAGTTAAAATAGGTGCTGGTCTGACTTGTATGCATGCCAAATTGTCAACAGCATGGCAAATTTTAATAGCATGTTGCTAGCCTGCCAAATGCAACCATGGCAATTAATGGGACCATGCCGCAACCACGTACTCGTGAGGACTGCGCTGCAACTGACACTCGGGGGGGGCGATTTATCAAAACTGGAGCAAAGAGAATCTGGGGAGCAATTGCCCATGGCAACCAATCAGCCTCTCTCTTCAGTTTGTTCAGTTAAGCTTTGAAAATGAAATCTAGAAGCTGATTGGTTGCCATGCACGGCTGCTCCAGATTCTGTCTGCTCCGGTTTTGATGAATTCCCTTCTCTGAGAATGCAGTCGCGGCTCGGTATTGCAATTAAAAATCCCTATTGGGATTAGAAAAATGAAAAAAAAAAAAAGAATTGCATTCAGGAGGCGGCAAAATTGCCATCAGGAAGCCGCGGATCACTTCTCAGAGGGGCGGTAGAGCCTGACGACCATCTTAACAAGGCCTTATTCTCGGTTCTGCTCCTCCGATTGCGTTCTATGCTCATCCCTGCCTGTTCCAGCTCCAGGGCCGCTTTTTTGGGTGCGCACCTACTTCCTACCAACGTAACAAAGAAGAAAGAAGGTTCAGGCAAATCAGAGGCTGTAATCCAAGATGATGGCAGCTCACAACACCTGCTCTAGTATGGCTGTAAGCCTCCTGCAGCTGCACAGCTGGAGAAATTTGGTAGACACACTGGACCTCTCACAAAGCTAACTCATCTCATGGGTGCTTGTGGACCTGACACAGATCGTGATCTGGAATCGCGCACGGCACCATTGCTATCCCGTGCTGAGGGCAACACTGAGATCTAGGACGAGGACGCAGGCTCTGTGAGTAGCATACCCAAAAGCTGTAAAACTAAAACCAGGGACCCACCATGAAAGATGCTTATCCAGCAGTATAGAAGTACACCTTGTTACTTGGCGGTCTCTCTATTTACATGGTATGAGAACGGAAATTTCACCTGTACTCCATGATCTTCCACAAAGCAGAGAGAGCACCGCAGCACTGAAAGGTCGTAGAGAGTTGGAGGATGCTACTGGTCCTTTCAAATCTGATTTAAAATGTGTCTGCAGAGATCTGATGCTAAATGCCTTAAAATGCATGACCTTGAAAAGTATTTTTTTTAGGTGGAGGTGGGATAGGCTTCCATGGAGAGGTGAGTGTTCAAGCCTCGTCTGAAGGCCAAGTAGGAGATAGCTGGACAGATTGGGGTAGGGTGTTGCAGAGGAAGGGAATGGCTCTGGGAAAGCATGGGAGGAGGTGACAATGAGTCTAGAGAGCAGAGGTCTTGGGAGAATATAGACGTAATAACATTAGGACAGTGGAGATCCCAGAATGTGCATAAGGTGGTAATCTATCAGCATTCATTGAATAGTGGTTACTTACCTCCATTGGCAAGGACAATCTGTCCCCACTCTTTGCTGTTGAATGTTGCACACGCGCTCCTTACTTGCCCTATTCCCCTTGTAAACCCACTGATATCCCTTCTGATCCACCGGTTAAACTACAGGTGGATCAGAGCTTATCTTCTGCAAGACTTGTGACCGGGGTGAAATCATCTTCAGGTGACTCGAAAGTGATTTTCTTCTTCAACTTCTCCCCAGAAGTCCAAAGACAGAGCCAAGTGTCAAGACATCAAGAAACGTCTCCAACAACTCAAGTTCCAATACTCTGTACTGAACCCGGCACAGCTATGTGTGGGTCAAAATGAAGACACTTTTTTTTTTAAACGCCTTCTGCTGCTTCACATTGGCTTGATGGACATGGTGGACAGCGATGTAACACCCAAAGAATGACTCTCTTCTTCACATGCTGCCTCTAGGGGGTGATCTCGTTCCTGACCTCCCAACCATGAATTCCTCAGGGTTCTGCTCAGGGCTGGACTATATCCTCTATATTCAGCACAGCATCTCAATGTTCCTCTGCTAGCCCTGTAGGCTTTACTGCTGTTCATGGTTCCGTTACTCAGACGCGGGCAATATTTGACCACCTTCTGCATGACAACCATCAATTATCTGCAGAAGACTCACGCCACCTCTGAAACTTGTAGAAATCTTCAGAGACAATTTTCTCAAACCATTCATCACTTCTGTTATTCTCAACATGCCGGGAGCGTAATGCTCCTGGTCCACAAAAGCTTGTCCTTTTCTTGCAGTCAAATCTAATCGGACAAGTTTGGTGGCTATGCGTTTATTCATTGTTAACGGTTTGGTTTGGAATGTATATTAGCAACGGTTTATTTTCCTCCTGCAGTCCCTGATAAGGTTCTTAAAACACTGGCACAATTTATGGCAGATAAGCTGCCTTAGGCATTAGATCTCCTGCATGGATTCCAAGATAGGTTCCCAGCTACCCAGGTAGATGGGTGCCCCACTCAGACCCTATCTGGACCGTGCGCAGCCCGATTTATGACAGCAGGCCTACTCATGTCACTATACACTATCACGGATTTGTCTAGCTTTGGGCTATGTTCACACCATGCCCAGACCAGATCTGCAAACACATTGCAGTGCAATTTTGCGGCGTTCCGGTTCTTTTTTTAAGCTTAAAATAAGATTTTAGGTGCAGTCCAGACCAGAGAAAATGAGACGAGCATGATTTTTTTTTTTTTTTTGTGTGTGCGTGTGTGTGCAGCAGAA